GTTTGTTAAATATTAAATTAAATGAAAATAAATGGTGCTGTAAACTGAATTTGATGCAAAATTAAACATCACAAAATAAGATCACTAGCCTGAATAATTCGTTGGACCCATATTTACCAGAAGAAAGCAAAATTACAAAGGGTCATAGATGAAAGTTTAAGGGTATAAACTGACTTAGTCCATTTGCATTGTCTAATGTAAAAACACTATCCCCAAACATTTTTCTATCTATAAAATCAGACCAAAAGCCTTATAACTGACTATACCTGATCTAATATTAATCTGCTAAGAAAAATAGACTACTCAAAAATATTATTTTCTTCTTTGGAAGAGGGAACACTTTAAGTTCATTTTTTTAAAGGAGGGTGCAAGACTAAGTTTTTTAAAAAAAATTAATAAAACTGTCAAATTTTGATCCTTTTTCCTTGAGATGGGTCCATATAGCCATTTCTTTGACTATTTTTGTATTTTACTAATTTTCAAAACTTTATATTCATTTTAAGCTATGTATTTAAATTTGATACTAGTGAGAAAACATACGAAAACAGTATGTTTCTCAGCTATTATTTTTTAGTTTCTATACAATCATGTCTTATCTTAATTTACAGTTCATAAAACCTGAATAAATAAAAGGGCAATTCCACCAATTATGACTGCTCATATTTGTATAAATCTAAGTTTTTAAAAAATCAAGCTGTTCAAATAATTATTGTTAAAATAACACTCATTTACACATTCTCAAATTTCTATCAACTTATTAAAAACTAAAATAGGGCTGTAACAGATGTAACTAACATTGTGTATTATGTTACATACATGACACCTAGATCTTAATTTTAAAACATTTTTTTAAACAAATGAAAGTTATTAAAAAGTGGAGAAATATAAATTACACTGAGGGTTACTTTAACAAACAAGAATTATTAGCACTGCTTTTTTAACTTATACACATATGATGCTCATAAATGGTGGAATTGTAAAAAAATAATTTAAAATTAGATTTAATTGTCCTTTCCATCAACTTAAAAGGTTGATAAATAAAAACACAATGGCAGTTAAAAAAAAAAAACAATGTACTGTGAATTAAATAGAAATTTTATGGTAAATGAGAATATAGTTTAGCAAAGAATAAAAAAAAAACTACATTTAAAAGGAAAAATAAAATTTTTATTTCCAGCTACGGGGATAAATAATCACTTTTGATACGTTTTTATTTAACCTTTTACCTAAGGGCATCTGATGGCACTTATTACTCTAGATCAGGGATGGCGAACCAATGGCACGTGTGCCATTTATGGCACGTGACGCAATATTTTGGGCACCCCACCGATCGCTATTGTTATTGCACTATGACTTGTTATTACACAAATGTTATTACAATTTGAAGCATATGTAACAATTAAATTAAAAATCACAAAAACAAACAAAATAATAAACAACTATTAATAAAAAAATTAACAATTAATGCTAAGAAACAATTAACCATAAAAAACAAGTTCACAATAAGTAACTAGCAAAAAAAAATAACAGTCTTGCTGAAACTAACATCTTACAACCTAATATAAGTTATTTGTCATCTAATCTGCAGCAACAGAAGTCACACTGATGTTACTTCAAGTTGAATTACGCCTATAACTGAGACATTGCAAAATGTATTTTTTTTTTCAATGTAAATAGTTTTCAGTTGATAGTATTTAGTATTATTATTTTCCCAATAATCACGAAGTAAAAATTACTTGACGGCACGTCTATGACATCATTAAACAGTTTTTTTTTTTAGAAAAAATGGCACGTTGATGTATAAAGGTTCGCCACCCCTGCTCTAGATCATCAGTTGTACATGCCGTAAGCAAAGGGTTAATAATGAAAAGTCAACTTTAGATAAATTAAAGATGAACGACACACATTATAAAATTATTTCAATTATTTTTGTTTTATAAATTTATATGTTCTCAGTTAAACTACGAAAAATAATAGATTTTATATAACCCCTAGAAGCGAATCCTGCACTGGACTGATCGTTAAGACACAGTTCCCAGTAGATCATCGAAGTCGAGCATCACTGGCTGCGGTCAGTGTGCGGGGGTGACCACTTGGATCAATCTGCGTAGGGACCGAGGGTGTGCGGTATTGGTTCTCGGCAAACTGCTCTACTTCGCGTTACAGGTCGTCGGGCTACCAAAGCGAGCTTGCCATCCCCTCTGCAGAGGATCAAAATTGTGATGGCATGTCTTCAGATCATCCTCAGGGATGTTTCCCTGACCGTCGCCAATAGCCCATTTTGCAGCTTTAGTGCAAAGTAAATGAACAACAACCCTAGAGGCAAAATAACTTGGGCCCTGGATCGATTTAGAAATGTCCTTGTTTGAATCTTTATTGAGCCAAGATTCGTGAATATAAAACACGAATCTTGGCTCAATAAAGATTCAAACGAGGATTAATTTAAAATATTGGTTAGATATAAAACTGTCCTATTTACCCGATGTTTTACAGTCATTTTTAAAACTAATATCGGCTCTATACAGAGTTGTCAGATTAACCATTTCATATTCATTATTCAGTCAATATAAGCTTTATATCGGCCGTTTATAGAACAATATTCGCTCTATATAGAACTGATAATAAAACATCTAGAAATTCCAATATTGGTTTTTTGGTGGATGTTCATACAGGACAAATATTAAGTTTAACAGGTAAAATTATTGTTAGGAATCTTAATGGATTTTAGGGCTTTTTTTCTATAATTAATTTCTTTTACTAAATGATACAAAGGAGAATTATGTCAATATCTCTCTTTGCTAATAAATCGAACGACTTCAGGCGATACTTCCAGTCGCTGAAAAACTACTTTTGAAATGTAATCATTACTTTTAGGAGACAAACTTAGCTGGTTGCTATAGAGCTTAATTTACACCCCTTTAAAATAATTTTGAATAAAAAATTGGCTTTTTTAAAACATGAGATTATTAAGAAACTCTTATATCAGCAAAATTGTTATTTTAAAACATTTTTACAAACTTGTTCACATAGCCTTCAACTTTTTATCTCTCGAATAAACTTAGGAAATTATCAAATATTTACAATTTTGCAAATGCCCTTTTTATTTTCTTTAAGAAAGGAAGTACATCTAAAATTACAGTGAAAATGAGTTCCCTACCATTGAAACAATATTAATTAATGAATGCACATTCACATTTGAATGTGCAACCAAAGTGACCCATTTAGCTTAATAAGTCATTCTAAATACATAATTCATATGAATGCTCGGCCATATGCACACTCTCATTGTATTCATAGACAGATTCAGGAAGATTTTTATCAAATTCAAATAATTAGCTGCACTTGCACTTCAATACTTTACTAAACTGACGTTAAAAGTAGCTGCGAGGAATCGCTACCAACCACTGTTTTTTTATGTCCCAAAACTTCCACTACTTTTTTTAAAAAAAGTTGCACAACACATTACAAGCTACAAACAGAAAAGTATCAACTTCAGTACTGCTGTACAATTGAAAATACAACGTAAGTGCTTCAAGATTGATTCCGAGAAAGTTATAATCTTTGCATATCAACTTCGTTAGCAGGCAACAAGTAAAATAAAAACAAGTTTGGGCTTTAGAAATATTTTAACATAATTCAACTATACAATTAATTGAACTCTCAATTCAAATCTCTGAAAATATCATCAAAAACAAATTAGTGACTTAACACTATGATAAATATCAGTATATTTATCATATTGAGAAAATCATTAGTTATAATTCAGTACCAAGAGAAAAACAAATGTATATCATACTAAAGTTAATTTTTAAAATGCTATACAAAATCAAAATTTCAGTATCAAAATAATTGTACTTAGATACTAAATAGATAACCCTTTTAAAATAAATGTGGAGTAAATTTTTTTTTTTTTATAGCACATTTGGGTACATAATATAGAAATATTCTGTTAGGTATAGGTTCTGATATTTTAAATTAAACAGAGGTCTTATTGGAAATTTTGTAAAACTAAATCAATTTATACATCAACCAAAAATTTTTATGTCATACATTTATTGCTCTCAGATTGCACAATATTGGTTAATCTTCAATCTACAAACTTCATTAAAATTATTCACAAAACAGAAAAATGGACATTTATGTTCAACTTCATTGAAGTTTAAATTCTATTAATTCATTAATTTTAATCCTGAAGAAATCTGTAAAGCCTAAATGAATCAGGTCTCATAAAACGAGAGCTCTTGTTTTACAACGCGAAATAATTATCGTGCTGCCATCTATGAGCAGCTATGTCATATGCAACATACTTTCATAAAAATGGCGGAGATGTTATCATTTTATACGTATCATTAAAATATATAACTAGACCTCCTTGAAATATGTATGCAATTCCTAAATAAGAAAAGCATATTGAACCATATTTTAGAGTATGTCATTGAAATGTAATACATGTTATTTAAACTTATTTATAATGAAAATTCTTCCTTCACAATAATCTAACATTAACGTACTTATACGCACATTTTTCAGTCATTTCATAATCAGCCAATGCGTTAGTTGCAATATTTCACACACAAATAATAAAAATACTCTACCGTTACGAATAAATTAGTAAGGCGTTGTAGCACTGGGGCTTAAAACTTGAAATAAAATTATAAAATAATCAACAATAAATTTAAAATAAAAGTATACATTTTTAAATTTCTGCACAAACCCAATTGCAATAAGTAAATATGATTTGTTTTTTAATAAATATAATATTACCATACGAAAATACATACAAATTCTAATATTGCAGTTAAAATATTAAATGTTAAACTGAGTTAAAACGAGTGCGTTAATTTCAACAGCTTAAGAAAAATGTGCCCATTACATAAATCTTTACGTTAAAATACATTAATAAATATAATTTATCATAAATCTGAGGAAAACCTTTCATAATATGATCTCTAAGGCATCATTTCTAATAAATTTACTTATTAATAAATATTGTTAGTTACCTTGAACTCGCTTCTATGGACGGGACAGACTTCTACACCCATGCCATAAGTATTCGGGCAAAACCCGCCACAAATTTTGACAAAATGATGTGACAGCACCAAGTAAATTCTTGTAGAGAGCACACCGTTATCACCTGTTGTATGACAGTTCAAGTAAAGAGCACATTGAGAAACATTCAAACATGACGTTCAGTTACAGAAACAATACATCCGAACAACACACCATTGCATCCGCAAAAGCTCTACTGTTATCTAAAATCCAAAGCGAAATATCAAAATAGTTTTTGGCGATGCCTAGGGTTGCCAAAGTTTAATTTCTCTTCGATCACACGCCATGCTTCCAAATAAAGATGCCAAGCTTGTTTTGAGAAAATCCCTATTATTTTTCCCTATACCGGTTCTGAATAGAAAAAAAAAGTTATCCTGTTCCCTACGTGTAGGCGTTGCTTATTGCCGAAACAAAGCTAGAACGAGATTTTAGAAAAGAGCAGCATTTGAAAGAAAAGGCTTATTTCAAAAGAACGAAAACTTAATTAAAATAAAGTTTGATTGAACAAATAAAATTTATTATCTTCTGTCATCTCTAAGGTAAAATGCGTCTTAATAGCTAAAATCTATGCATTTTATTACTCATCTAATTATTTTATTGTTGAATTATTTTTATTACTTGTATTTCATTTCATGTTTAAAGTTTAATAATAAAGTCAATAAAGTCGTCGAATATAAAATCCCGTTGTAACGGGGTTGTGAAGTATTTTCCATATAAAAGTCACCAAAATTTAAATGTATCTGATAAAACACAATAAAAAAAGATTGTTCTTTAAATTTTAGTTAAAATTTACAGTTGAAAACAATTATTGCGTATTACAATAGTTATTTCAGACATTTAATATTTTAAAAATTTATTTTTAAGTTATTCTTTTACTATTTTTTCTTTAGAGCAGCTGAAGTTACCAGATTTGCATAATTTAAATCAATACAATATTTCAAAACAATCAGAATAAAAAATCTTCTTATCTGGTTTTCGTAGTTTAAAAATTTATTAAGGCGAAAATTCCTAATTTTTACTTATTTTTTTAGTGTTATTACTGTTTAAGCGATCATTCATATTTTTATGTTATTTAAGAGATCATTCATATTTAAATAAAGTACAACTCACAATGCAGTAATAAAATAATATTAATTATGAAGTAATATAAAAAAAAATTTATTTGGGTTTTTATTTTCATTTTACGACAAATGAATACGAAAAAATTATTGTCACGGTGAAGTCTCTTAGTGAGTGATTGGAAAAATGGATACCATAATTAAAAAACTTCAATTGGGAGGGAAATGCATAAATGTAACTTTCAATTTTAAAAAAATACATTTTAAGTCACCGATAATTGAATTTCTTGCAATTTACAAATTCAAAATGTATTTAAAGTTGACAATATGATTTATAAATATATTTTAAAAGTGAGAATAGAACGTTTTTTTTTTTCTTACGATTTTCAATGCCTAAAATGTATACACACTATGAATGACTAATTATATTTATCGCTAACCCAATTCGTTAAATTGCTTTCACTTGTTTATGAAAATAATCCCAATTCAAGAAATATACTTTCTGGCAATATACTCATATAACAGATAAAAGGTTCAAAGATAAAAGAAAAGTTTAGATTAGAATCTGGATTGTTAAAGCTTAAAACTTACCTTAAGAGCTCCAAAAATGCTCTCATAACTTAATAAGAACTTTAATGTGAATCATTATTTTTTTCATAAATTTGCACATTTGAAAAACAATTTTAAATTTTTTTTTAAATATATAATATTACGAGACATCCGGATTAAAAGACATACATAGAAGTTTGAAATAAGTGTTTAAAGGGTGATAAAAAAAATATAGGGTAAACAAATTTGTAGGGGGTATAGAGAATTACCATTATGAAAGGAAAAAAAATGTTAAAAAAAGAACCTGATTTCAAATTTTGAAATTTTTTACTTGAAATTGTAGAAAAATTCCATTAAAATCGTTTAATGCTAAAAATGAAAAAAAACTTAAATGCAAAAATTACCCTAGGGGACCACCAAACCTTTTTGATCATCGACCCCCCAAACTTTTATAATTATCTTATCGACTACCTCCATAAAAAATCTTGAAAAATAAGAAGAAAAAAAACTTTCCCGTTTTTTAATTTATTTTATTTTGAAGAAATCAAATTGTTACACAAATCATTGAGAAGGATGACTTTTGGCTGGATAAGCAATGTTTGGTTCGAAATATGTAAATCGCTTCGAAGTTCTTCACTCAATTTGTTTTCCTGCTTTGTTAAATGGAATTAACATGACTGGAGTCATATTTAATCATATATGAGTTTAGTAATGCAGTTAAAAGGGAAATGCCGCATTACAAAGTTTTGTATATCTTTTAGTAATATTTATATCAGTCCAAAATTTATTCACAGTTAAATTATCAAAAAACATCCTTGTTTCAATATCAACTAATAATTCAATGATTTTATCTTAAAAATGACTGTCGATACTTTAAGCTTCAGTGGTGCAATAACTGGGATATCCAGATTTTCATTATCTTCTAATTCAAAATTTATTTTTAAATCTTGGCGATTGATAAGCATTGGTATTCATTCACCGATTCCTAATCATCGCCATTGATCGGATCTACCTCTAATTATATTATATCGACCCCCAGGGGCCGATCGCGATCGCAGGGGCGACCCCTCCTTGGACCAAAATTTAAAAAGAAAGATGGAAAAGAAGAAAAAAATACCCCTAAAATCTCTAAAAATGCTTTTAAAGAGAAAGTCTAAATATGCAAGGAAAAATTAGGCTAATGACATCATAATCCGTGTCTTAGATGTACCAGAAAGAAAACAGCCAACAACAAACAAATTGCTAATTTGTTTCTCCGAGAAAATGGCCAGTTCTTCGTAAAATAAACGGTATGAAGAGTGTTTTTGACAGTATAAGAGTGAAAAGCAGCCGTGGAATTTTTATTATGATTACAAGTTTCCTACCTTACAGTATTGGGATGCAATGCTTCATGCGTTGGTGCTGGAATTTCATTAAATAAACTGAAAGTATTTTAGCTCTTACATTAAAATCTTAGAATGTAATGTTAAGTTTAATATCTTGGTTCACAATAAGTCAATGAATATGGCTACAACGACTAAGTCTAGTGGTGCACAATAAATATAAGTGCAAAAAGAAAATTTTAAATGTCTGTGTTTGAAAAAGAAAAGATAAACTTAGGAATTTGCTTTTGTTACATACGTAATCGAATGAAGAATGTTGATTAATTGAAGTTCTATTTTTCTTAATTTAAGTTCAAGTGTTTTAATTAAAGAAAATAATACTTCAATCGAATTGAAATAAAGCTGTTTTAAGCATTGTGAAAATCAAAATAATCTGAAAAATAAGAACTGCTTTAAAACAATTTAAAATTTTAGGACAGCAAAAATATTTTTAAAAAAAATAGCGTTTAAGTTTTGTATAATAGAAAAAAAATTTTATTAATACAAAATAAAAGCTGAAAAGTATAGATATTTTACTCCAGAGTTCTTCAAAATAAAGAAATTAATGTTAAAACATATATTAGTAATTATTTACAAAAATATTACAGGCAAAATAATTTTGAGATAATTGTGATGAGTAAACAAGATTATATTCAAGCTTTTTTGACGAAAGATTCTTAATTAAAGGTTTTGACAGGATTATTTAATCCACTGTTCAAACCGTCAAAAACTATGATACATCAAAAATATTTCATCCAACTCTAATATAAAGTTTTTGATAAGAACTGTGAAGAAAAGATGAGAGAAAAAAAGGAACTCGAAACGAAAAACTGTTTATTACGATTTTTTTTCTTCCTGTCATGCGCAAGTCTGAGACTTTAACTAATCGCATCACTTGCACTGTTCTAAAGTGAAAATGAAATTCTATTGACTTTCTTCGATTATCTTAGTAAGGCATATATAAAATTTCATGTTTTTATAATAGATGAAACTGAATATAGATGTTAGTAATATTGTTTTATAATAGATGATAACTGAAAATAGATGAAAAACTAGCTAAATGCTGAGAAGAAAATTTATATTTTAAATGTCAAATTAATTATAGTTTTTTCGGTTCAGATCGAATCTCAGAAAAACAGCATGAAAAAGTTAAAAAAACCTGGTGACCTTTTCTTTTTTCAATTTCTTTGTACTTCCTTCAATTTCGCTCTTTATTTTATTTTTAATTAATATTCCCCTCAGTCGGTTTCAACGTAGATAAACTGCGAAACAATATTTAACCTAATTAAAATTACATTCAATAATATATTACTTCTTATTTAGCAATTTTATAAGAAAAATAATACTCAACTTAGCAGGGAAGAAATAAAACAATTTACATACGTTGTATTTTACTTTATTTTTAACGGCGATCATACAAAGCATTTCACTAAAAAAAAAGTAGTCCTGAGGTATAACTTTTTTTCGTATAAGTGCTATTGGAAAAAGTTATAATACAAACAAAGCATTCCTAAAGAAAGTTGAATTTAATTTATTATGGTTCGTGAGTGCCATGATTAAAAATATTTAACCATTGGACGAAAAAATGCAGCTACTATGTTTGATGGATGAAATGCAACGTAAATATTTAATTGTAATTTGTAGCATTTAATTGTTTTAAAACATCATTTTTAGTTACAAAATCATAATTACGTTAGATTTGTAGTGTACTTCTAAGAAAAGTTGCACGGTAGGTATTAACTTATTATTTTTTATGCATTTATTTCGTAAAAATAATGATACTGTGAAATTAAGATTCATACTAAAGAAAAATTAGAGTATTGAATTTCTCTGCAGATTAGGTAGTTAAAATTCGTAGTTTTACCTTCATTTAAAAAGTCTCAAGTTGAAAACTATATAATAGTTAAAATTACTGTGAAGACATTTTTATAAATTAAAACATTATTGCTAATATTTATTATGAACATTAATCATATTGCTTCAATTTGTTAGTGAATTTTTTTTTGAAGAATTTTTTTTTCACTTACTATATTTTCCCGCTAATTAGTAGTGTTTTCTTTCTTTTTTTTTTTTTTTTTAGTTATTTACTGATCATAAATTCAATTGTAGAAGTAATGTAATAACTAAATACACTTTACCCAGTTCCCCCGATGAACTTTGAACCCCTGTTACTCCAATTAGGATGATTAAAGTAAAATGCGATAGTTAATTTAACTGGATTGACAGTATTAATATGCATTTAATACTATTAAGCCTGTTACATTAT